TTTTGCCACATTTGTCAAGGCGTTTGGGCCTGACATCAGCAGCGGGCTCCCACACAGAGAGAGTGAGCAGTAAAGGCTCTGTCGGCCAGTCTGAGACGTGATCTCTCCTTGAGACTCCAGCAGGTTGTGTCCCTTTGTTGACAGGTTCAACAGAACCAGAGCAGAGACTGATTTTAGCCACTGAAGCTTAGGCCTCTGGGGGCCCCTTCCGTACATGGGCTCCATCCCACAGTTGAATACTTTTGTAAAATGTTCAAAAGTAAGATATTTAAGCATGGTTGTTTTTAGACCATTTCTACTCTACTGTCCTATTTTCCCTGATGTCAGGTGTTGATGGAATGGCCACAGGCTCACTGGAGATTGAGCTGGGGATACATGTAGTTTGGGTAGATGCATATGGTGCCAATTACTTGCGTGTGGGGTTGAGTTACTGCTAACCACCCAGTGTAGCAACGGGTCCGAGGAATGCCCCCACTCTGCTGCTCGTCCACCACCGTTGCAGGGTCACAGCACAGGCTAAAGGAGGGGAATGAGGTTTGAAATGTGTGGAGCCAAGAACCTAGACTGTGGAAAATTCTTCCAAATATGAAGTCTTATACAAAAGAATCTTGGTGGAGGTTTCCTTATGTTTGACAACAATCCTCAGCTGGATGTGAAGATGAAAATGTTCCCATTATCGTAATAAAAAGCAAATTTTGGTCAATGATACTAGAGGAAAAACTATTATCTTCTGGTTCTTTATATAAAAAATGACATTACAAGATCATTGTTATATGAGGGGAATAATTTTCTATTGCTGCTGCAATATTACCACAAACTTGGTGGCTTAATACAAAATTTATTATCTCATATTTCTAGATGTCAGAGGTCCAAAGTCGTATCACTGGGGTGAAACCAAGACGTTGTCAGGCTGGTGCCTTCTGGAAGGTCTAGGGGAGAATCTGTTTCCTGCCTTTTCCAGTTTCTAGAGACTGCCTGGAATCCTAGGTTCATGGCCCCTTCCTCCATCTTCAAAGCCAGCAATGTAGCATCTGACCAATTTTCCATTATCACATCTCTTTCTCTGACCACACCCAGGGAAGTTTCTCTGATTTTCAAGGTTTGTTCAACTCAATCACATCTGTAAAAACACTTTTGCCATATAAGGAAACACATTTACATGTTCTAGGGATTAGGATGTGTTGGGGGCCATTATTCTGTCTCCCACAAAGGACAATATTAACAGTTGTAATTTATTGTGATTTCTTTTCTCAGTCTTTCTCACAAATACATCTTCTCTTTAGTACCTAATTCTGTATTTGCAATATGCATTCTTTTTCTTGAAGAAGACCCTCCAGTTGTATAAGTCTCAGACCTCACATAAGCTGACTCATGGCACCTCTACTTGCCCATTGACCAAGTCGAGAACTTGAAATTTCCCCCACACTAGCTGGGCAGAGTCTGCTGTGGTGGTTCTGCTCACTGGCCAGCAAGGGAGCCAGGGAAGAGCCGAAGAGGAGAGTGCCTGTGTCTCACACGGTGGCCCCAGAGAATCGCCGAGCAAAGTGCAGCATGCCCACGTGCTGTAAGGGATGCTCCGATGAACGCCAAGCTCTGTGGGTGGAAGTTGGGGGGGAAGGTAGAAGAGCCCCTGAACCATTGCACTGGGAGCTCAGTAAATGTCCTGCTTTGGCAACTGCCACAATGCTTTCTGTTTCAGCCATTGTGCTCTTTTTGCCTTGTGGGTCCAAGACGATCATGTCCAGTTTCTCACTGGGATTCTTTTCTGGCCTCAGGATTAACTGAAGTTTCTCTTCTCTCCTGCTGCCTTATGAAAAACACCCATCATTGGAGTCTCCCTTTGACCATTTACTCTGCCCTCTTCATGTCTTCATGCTGCCCCCCACCTCGCCACCTGTGCCACTGGTCACTTGAGTCCCTGAACTTCCTTCTCTCTGCTCTTGACTTTTCCTCAACGACAACCCCCACTCTCACTTCCTTAGTGTTGTCTCTTTCCCAAATCTACCTCAGCACCCAGGCGAGGGTTTCTTTCCTGCTCATCTTTCCCATTCTAGCACTTTCCTCTTCCTGCTCTGGTGAGAATTTTCTCCTCCACCTCGACATCTCTGCTAAACTTGGCAACCCACCAGGCAACATCATGGGCCTTCCACTGGGCATTTCTTTCTTCCCTGCACGCAAAGACAGCCGCTCTCCATGTCTATACCCGGTATCTAGCCTGGATGTATCCAGAGCATGCAGTCTCTCAATAGCTGGCTCCAAGGGTCACTAGTGGATGGCTTCCCACTCCTCCCTTTGCCGCAAAGTAGACTCTCTCCCCAGCACCTCATTTTCACATATTCCTTCTGCAGGGGAGGAGTGTGAATATTCACACACTTCTCTGATTTTCTTGGTCTTTCATCACGATCAGCCATCTACCCCATACCATCCAGGTTTGTGTAAACACTCACTCCTAGTGTGCTCTCACAGCTCAATCCCCCTTGCTCAGCAGATGCCAGGTCTATGGACAGGGTCTCATTTGGCCTCATTTTGGAGCCTGAAGCTGCTCAACCAGCACCGTGCAGGGTGAGCCTCCTGTAGCCACTGTCCTCCAAGGTCAAAGCCCACCCAGGGACCATGAAGTTCTCATCCTCCAATGCTACCTCTGCAGTCCTCCTCTGGCCCCAAATGGGGATCCTTTCCTTCCATAGCAGAAACTGAACTCCACGTTTCTTATAGATTTTCCCTCCATTATCACCCTGGGATGCACCTTCCTTTCTCCCCAAGTTCAGACCTGTCCTTCCTATAGTGCACATTCTCCAGCATGCTCAGATTACCAAGCCCAATGAGGAACAGGTGCAACCCTCAGAGCAAGCCCAGCTGGATTCAGTTGTAACTGCATGTTTAATTAGTCTTATTAAATTCACATGAACAAGAGATGTGGCTGGCACATAACGGTCACTGTCATTTTCCTGTCCACTGATGTAAGGGGGAAGTAGGACTGATGTAAGGGGGAAGTAGGGTCAGAATTGCAGGCATCAGCTGGTACCCCCATCCACCCCAGGTCAGATCTATTTCTAACAGAACTCTAGGGGTTCTGTTTCCATTATCTCTTGACATGTAACAAACCTCCCCAAAACTTACCGGATTAAACCAGCCACCATTATATTTTCTGCCATGATTCTGTGTTGACAGAGCTCAGCTAGGAGTCCTGCTCCATGGCATCAGCTGGATGCTTAGCTGGGCTGGGACGTCCACAAGAGCTTGCTCTCTTGTCTGGAGCTTGGTGGGGAGGGCTGGAAGGCCGGGACAAATGTGCTTCTCTCATCTTGTCATGTCAGTGCTTTCCCTCTTCACATGGCCTGTCTGCATGGTCCCTTTGGGTGGTAACCCCAGCAGCATAGCTAAACTTTCTCACGTGGTGGGTTAGGGCTCCCCCAAAGGGCAGAAACAGAAGCTACAAGGCCTTTTTGTGGCTTCGCCCAACTGGCACAGTGTCATTTCTCTACAATTCTATTGGTTAAAGCAAGTCACAGGCCACCCCAGATTCTTCGTGCAAGAGGACTGCACTAGGGTGCGGGCCCCAGGAGGTGTGGTTCGTTGGGAGCCAACTTTGGAGCAAAGCCGTCATGGGTTGTCTTAACTGGGGCTTCATAAAGATGTAACTACAGAATGTACCAGATCTGTTTATTTAACAGTAAACTCAGGCAAAACAAAGTAAAAGTTACACAAATGCTATGAAGTGAGACTCTGGCATTAATCCTAATACCTCCTCCTTACAGAGCTGGAGAATGTTATCAGTCAGACACAGTGTAAGTAAACGTTTCCTCCCCTTTGTCCCTTGGCAGACAATTCTTTGCATGTCTTAATTCTGCTGTAAGCTGTTTTTGCTGGCTCTTGCTCATGGTGCCATGTTAGTGTTTGATTCCTGATTTGGGAGGTTTTGCTCATATTTCTTGAAAATTATTTGTGTGATTCTTTGTGCCTCAGTGGAAAGTGGTCCCCTAGAGAGGAGTGTGTCTGCTTCTGTGAGTGTCCAGGAGCACTGCCCACCCAAGACTTCTTTAAATCAAATCCTTAGCTTCAGGTTTTTGGGAGCACTCTAAGTATACCTTTTGTCTGCAAGCCCATATGAGGTCAGGATCATGATTTGAAAAACCAGGGGGGAATCCCCCTGCACCTGTTCAGTTCAAGTTTCCCATCAGCCTATTTTATATGCAGTTTTCTGGAAGCAGGGTTGCGGGACAGATTAATTTCTAATTCATTTTTACAGGCGGACTGTTTGCTTTCATCTATCACGCTCTGGAAATAAAAACTTTTGTTGAAACTTCACTAAAAGTTTTATTTGGGGTTAAGAAAAGGCAACATCATCTGTGGTGTGGTGGCCCTGGGCAATCAGTGCCCAGAGAGGCTTTTGGGGGGGCGTCATGAACAGGACAGCTCCTCATTTCTGCTCACCCACCTCTGTGCTCATTCCAAGTATAGAATTCAGGCACACTCTCAAGGTGAACGTTCCCTGGGGCGAGCATCTCAACCACAAGTCTACTAACGGGTACAAGTTCTTTGAGTACTCACTTATGCCCCAGCTTGACTGGGATGTGGGCCCTTGTCTTCCTGCATTCTCGGAGCCTGGCTCCTCTCTGTCTTGCTCCCCATTTGCTTGGTTACTCAGTTGAAAACCGCCTTTCTGCCCCGCCTTTTCAGCTTTCTCTGGGAACTTGGGCCACCACATGCCTGAGAGGCTGTCTCCCCTGGGTTTCCCCAGTCCCAGAACCATCTCCAACAAGTGGCCTGTCCCCTGGGCCTCTGACCAGGCCATGGGCTCCTAATCTCAGTCGATTTAAGAATTGTTTCTGTGACCCCACCCAGGCAGCCTATTCCTTTTCCTTCTCATTTCTTTCTCGGAATCTTCTCTTGCCGTGTTCTTGTTCACATGCTTTCCTGCAGGGCCCTGTTATTGCATACACACCTCCACCGTGACATCTCTCCTGATAACGAATACTAACCCCACCCCCAGTTCTCCCATGGTTCAGCTCTTGGGTCCACAGAATCAAATGTGAGCGGCACACAGGGAGGACTGTCTCAGCACATCTCTGTCCGGCCCCTTCATTCCCTGTGGTTTTTTCACTTCTAGCCCAAGAGGCCTGGAAGCCAACCTGGAGGTGAGACCTGGAGAAAGCTGGAAACATGCTGACCTTGTGTCCTACGAAGCAAATGCAGCTCCTGGGAAGCCTGCCGTTAGTGCAGATGAGGGAGATGGGGGTCCCCAAATCTGCCGTGTATGCGGGGATAAGGCGACTGGTTACCACTTCAATGTCATGACATGTGAAGGATGCAAGGGCTTTTTCAGGTAGAGTTACCAGCCAGCAGTCACCCACCTGCCACCCTGACACACTGGGTCACATCTAACTGGGGTTCTGCCACTAGCTCAATGGGCACTGCTTTAGGGCTTCAGCTTGACCTATCCTGGGTTCAGAGTATGGGGCAGTGGCCAATTCAGAAGCCTCCTACTGTTTCAGGAGAGTCATGAATATCTCAGAGGATTTCTTGATCTTCCATCTTCCTATCTTACCTGGGAAAGGGCCCCTTCCATTAAGATATTCCTTTTGTTTCTCCATGTGTTCTTGAATAAAATGGAAAATCAGTTCATAAAAGAAGAAAGAATCTGAAAAGCCAAAATGCAAGTGCTCAAACCAGCTGTAGGGAGTGGTTGTTAAGCAAAGAATGGCATAAAATAAAAGAAGAATAGGACAAAACAGTCTCATCTAGAAACAGGCAAACAGGGAGGTCAAAAACTTAAGGACTGAAAAGTACCAGCTCACAGCAAGACAGGCCTGCAGAGAGGGTTCACACTGTCCCAATGAAGAAAGAGTAAAGCCCAAAGCCCAAAGCGGGGCTCAGATCAAGAGGAAAAGAAGCCGGCCAGGAAAGGCGGGAAGCAGAGAAAGAATGTGTGAAGAGTTGGCAGTCTGCCCTCAGGGAGGGCCGGGTAGGGGGAGCACAGCTTCCACCTAAGGGCCCACTTGGGACCCTCAGGAGCTCCCAGGACAGCCAGCCTGACGTGGCCGTCTGCAGAGTTCTTGGTGGCCGGACATGTGACTGGAAATGGCCCCTAGAGCCAGGACCCACCCTACAATCCCTCAGATGGGCTGCCAGTCAGCATGCAGTGGGGTGGGGTGGGGAGGGGAGCGGGGCAGAACCTACCGGAGGACCTCCAGGGAGGCGCTGCGGCAGCTGCGCGTCGCCCAAGTGAAGAGGCCCTGGCTTTGGGAGCTGCTCTCAGGTCCCACGGCGTTTGGTGGGACTAGTGCAGGTCCAGAAGCAACCATGTCGTCGGCAGCCACGTTCCAGCAAGAGATGAACATCTGTGTCGTGCGGAGTACAACAGGGTCCAGAGGGAAGTGTAGCTTGGAGCCCCCTGGCCTAGGAAGCCCGGGTGTTCCCCGAACCTGCCTTTCGCTCTTTGTTCTCTCACAGGAGAGCCATGAAACGCAACACCCGGCTGAGGTGCCCCTTCCGGAAGGGCACCTGCGAAATCACCCGGAAGACCCGGCGCCAATGCCAGGCCTGCCGCCTCCGCAAGTGCCTGGAGAGTGGCATGAAGAAGGAGAGTAAGCAGCGGGAAGTGCCCCGGGCGGGAGGGGGCACAAGTGCGGGCGCATGCGCGGACTGGGGCGCATGCGCTCCGTGAGCCTGGGACAGGTGTGCGGAGGGAGGGGGCAAGTGGGAAGGAAGCGTGGGAATGTGTACGTGCACGTGTGCAGACACGCACCATGGGTGTGCACATGCGTGTGGCCTGTGTGCAACAGGCAGACTCAGGGAGGAGAGATTGTGGGCCACCTGCCTGCACCACCATCACGGGCCGATCCTGGAGGGACTTGACAGATGCAGTGCATCTTTATTCTCTGCTCCGGAGGTGTGGTGGGCATCTCATGCTCCTTTTTCCTCTCAGGTGCCCCTGCATGATTCTTTTGTCGCCTTCATAATTGTCCTCATGGTGGTTTAGCCAAATTGGGCGAGGTGAATTGGGGAGAAGGAAGCCAGAGACACCTTCCAGCAGCTAGTGCCCATCAGCCACCCAAACCTGGTGTCCTACAGAGGAACCATTTGCAGACAGGTGACATAGGGTGATCTCATTCTACCTGTGAAGCTTTGGTGTATAAATGTGCTTCCAGGTCACTCTGAGATTAAAGCTGTTGGGGAAAATGCTGGAAGCTTCCAGTGCATATTTGTCTCCACTGATCACAGAGTGGGCAGCCTCTTTCAGGGGACCAGTTCCCTGGGCGTGTGGACAGGCCCTCACATGGCTGTCCCTGCCGTTCCTCGCACCAACCCCCACCTCTTCGCTCTGCATCTGTAAGCGGGCTCCAGAAATCCACGGAAGGCCCTAAGGCTCCAGGCTAGACAGGAAGTGGCTGGAGTTGATATTTCTTGCTAAGCAGTAGCCCCAGCTCTCTAGGGTCTTGGAGACCCAGATGCCTCGGGGGGTGGGGGGGGACTCTGAGGAGTCTGCTTGGTATCTAATCCACCAAAGAAGACTACTGTCAGGTGCCACTGACTGCCCACTTATCATGTGCCAGGAGCTCTGCTAGGCACTTTGCACACCATGCCTAGTTGTGGCAGCAGCGTGAGGGGAGCACTGTCGCTCCGGATTATGAAGAAGGAAACTGAAGCCTGGAGAGGTTAAGGAGCTTGCTCAAGGTCACCGCTAGTGAGTGGCAAAGCTGTCACTCAAACCCAGCACCTTTTGATTCTGCAGCTTGAGCTCTTCCCACGGTTACACAAAATTGTCACAAACCCACTGCCTTGGGCAGCACACCAGCTTCACCTCATTCTCTGTGCTTAACCCAGGATTTCTCCAGGGGAGCCCACGGTCTAGGACAGGGTGGGATTTTTGTCACCAGCACATTCCCCCCCCCCCAGCCCAGCTGCCTGGGGAGGGTCACCAAGGGCAGCCAAGCTCCTGCAGGTGCCTGAGCCTGTTTCTGGTTATCCCGGCAGTGATCATGTCGGACGCGGCTGTGGAGCAGAGGCGGGCTTTGATCAGGAGGAAGAAGAGAGAACGGATGGGCATTCAGCCCCTGGGAACCAAGGGGCTGACTGAGGAGCAGTGGACAATGATCAGAGAGCTGATGGATGCTCAGATGAAAACCTTCGACACCACCTTCTCCAATTTCAAGAATTTCCGGGTATGAGGCTTTCTCGAGTTGGCTCAGCCATTATGGTAGCTCCTCAAAACCCCAGTCCCATTCCCAGGGGTTCTTAAAGAACCCCTAGGTGATTCTGACACGCGCTCAGGTTTGAGAATCTCTGTTCTCTCCTTCCACGGCAGGTAGCAAGTGGGGCTGAGCCAGAAACAGAGTTTTGGAAGCTGAGTTGCTCCAGGGTGGTTGGCCTTTGGGGCTTTATGAGGACAGGGTCAGGACCTGTTGGGGGTCTGGCATTTGTGAACGGGTTTTACAGATCTAAGACACATTTGTGATCTCAGCAACATGAGCCGTGTCTGATCCCGGTGCTCTCTTCCTGCTCTGTGCTTACAGGCATCTCAGGTGGCCAGCTCCACTCAGAGAGCTGGCAGCCAGAGTCTGTTCTTTCCATCTGTGGCTCCCACAACCTCCTTTTTAAGTCAGGGATGCTTGGGACACACCCACAGGTGGAGACCCCTTACATTCCACTGGGCAGAGAGCAAACCCATTCCTGACCAGGCAGGGATGTGAGGGAACATTGATACACAGATCCAGAAAGCGCACCACCTGACGTGTGTGTGCATGTGCATGCGTGTGCATGTGCATGCATTTGTATGTGTGTGCATGCCTGCACTTGCACATCCTCTCAGGCTGCAGCTGTGGCCGTGAGCCCTCCTGGGCCTGTGTAGGAACCTGTTTGGGAGAATACATGCCGTCTGTCCTGTCCTCTCTCCGCCTCCCGGCTCCTGCCCCAGCTGCCAGAAGCGCCCAGCAGTGGTCGCGAGGTTCTGGAATCTCTGCAGACTCCAGTGGGGCAAGAAGCTGCCAAGTGGAGCCAGATCAGGGCAGACCTGTGCTCGCTGAAGGTCTCTCTGCGGCTGTGCCGGGAGGACGGCAGCGTCTGGAACTACAGACCCCACGCTGACAGCAGCGGGAGAGAGATCTTTTCCCTGCTGCCCCACATGGCTGACATGTCAACCTACATGTTCAAAGGCATCATCAACTTTGCCAAAGTCATCTCCCACTTCAGGTAGGACCCACAGGCGGGCTGGGTGGGTATGGAGAGGAGAATGCAGTGGCCAGCCAGTTCAAAGGGTCTAGGGTGGATTCCTCTGAATTTGGGCGATATTGTTGTCAAAAGACCCTCCTTAATCTCCACCTACCCTACCCATCAGTAGGCAGAGGGCAGGTTAGATTCCAGGAGCCCCTGTAGGCCTTATTTAATGGAGGAAGGGTGGCCACGGGTCAGATGATAGCCAGTTAGGTCAAGGGAGTAAGAGAAAGGCCTGCTTGCATGTGTGGATCTTGGCAGATCCCCACTGACATCCGATGACCTGCAATGTAACATCAAGGTATGAGGTTACTTGCCATTTCTTGTGAGCACAGTTGTGAGCACAGTTCCCCCTGGAGGTATGCATTACTACTGCCTTCATTCTGCAAATAGAAAACTGAGGTTCACCGAGGTCCAGGAACTTGCACAGGGTCGCAGTTAATCAGAGGGGGCAGATTTGGAAGCAGAGAGCACAGAGTTCAAAGCCAGCTACCCGCCAGGTCCTGAGCCAGGCACTGGGAAACCTGAGAGAATAAGCTCAACTTGCTGAGATTATGGATCTAAAAGAAGGGGGGTGGTACAGAAAACAAGGGAGCGAATTTCTGAGGAGACCGACGACAGGCAGGGGGCCCCTCAAGAGCCAGCCTAAATGTCCTCCCTTCTGGGCTCCTACTGGAAATGCCCCTCAGTGGGGAGTCGGGGCCTCTCAGCTTGGGAGGGGAGTCAGCCTAACCCTGAGTGTCAGAGGAGGCCGCCGGTCTGTAGCACCCCGTGTGGAAGCTGGCACCCCCCCATCCTTGCTGCCAGGGACTTGCCCATCGAGGACCAGATCTCCTTGCTAAAGGGGGCCACCTTTGAGCTGTGCCAGCTGAGATTCAACACGGTGTTCAACGCTGAGACGGGAACCTGGGAGTGTGGCCGGCTGTCCTACTGCTTGGAAGACCCTGCAGGTGCCCGCGAGCCACCCGCCTGCCCCGGCGGAGGGGGGCAAACACATGCGTGGAGGGAGGAGAAGCGCTGCACCAGGATATGCAGGTCCTGGGGTTGCAGGGCAGAGACCTGGCGATGGGAAAAAAGACCCCCGTGAGGGAAGGCTGAGAAGTTTGCCCCTCCACCCTTCACCCACCTACAGGTGGCTTCCAGCAGCTTCTCCTGGAGCCCGTGCTGAAGTTCCACTACAGGCTGAAGAAGCTGCAGCTGCATAAGGAGGAGTATGTGCTGATGCAGGCCATCTCTCTTTTCTCCCCAGGTGATGACCCCACCTGTCCTACCTGGCCACTCCTCTCCACCCCCCCAACTCCTGCTTGCTTGCACCCCGCCTCAGCCATAGCTGGAGGAGGCAGCAGGCCCACCCCTGCCCTCCCCAGATGGCCTTGCCCCCATTCACTGTCTGGCCAGGAGGGGGCCCCTGACTGGCTTTTCTTGGGTCAGTGGGGTGAGGCACCCTCCGAGTGCTACCCTCCCTTCCCTGCCTGGGTGCTTCTGGCTCTGGGAGGTGGTTGGCTGGCCATTTGCCTGCTCTGGGCCGGACTGATCTTGTCTTTGCCCCCACGGCCTTGCTGGCACCACACTGTCTTCCCCTCCCCACCAGACCGCCCGGGTGTGGTGCAGCACAGTGTGGTGGACCAGCTGCAGGAGAGATTTGCCATCGCCCTGAAGGCCTACATCGAGTGCAGTCGGCCCCAGCCTGCCCACCGGTGAGCAGCAAGCAGGGAGGGTGTGAGGGGGTCCCTCCAGAAGCCCCGTCCTCTAGGCCCCCCGCCTGTTCTGGGCCTCTTGGAGAGGGCAGACTGGAGCTGCTCCTGGGGCAGCCTCTGGCCCGGTCAGCCTGAGCTCCAGCCCAACAATGGAGAAACCTGAGGGGGGCCAGAGGCCATGCCCAGCCATTGACATTGCTCCCTGAGGCACAGCTCCTGTCTGCCCTTTTCCACTCCTCTCAGCAAGGACGGGAACAGCCAGGTACTCCCCTGAGGCTCCTACGGGCTCTTCTAGCAATAGCCAGCAGTAATTAGCATGGTAGTGAAGATAACCATGACAACAACAATGATGGTAATAATAAATTTGCACTGCGGAGTGCCGGCCCTGGTACCAAGCCGTTTACATGTATTGTCCCCTTTAATCTTGAACACAGCCCCCCACGAAATGGGTGCCAGGATACCCTGCAAGGGGCTGGAGGCTCAGGGCGACTGCCTCAGGGTCCCCAGCCAGATAGGCAGGGTCTGGAGCTGGCCGCGGGTGGACAGCACCCGTTTGAGCGCTACTTGATCACCTCCAGGAACGAGCACAAGCACACAGGGTAGGAGGCTCCTTAGTTTGTTCTGGTCACAACCAAAGGAGGAAGGCTGCTCAGGGGTTTCCATCCCTTCACTGCCTCTCAGCAGCCCCACGGGCCCGGGCCGTGAGGGGTGAAGTCCTGCACAGGGTGCACTGGCTGGCCTTCAAGCCTCAAGTCCTTTACTTGGCCCACTTCAACTTTATTTTGAGCTCAGCCTCTGGGCCATCTCTTGATTTGCTTGGTCCTCCCCTGTGTGGAGCCAGGAGGCATCATGCAGAAACTCAGGCGTGAGGTTTGTCTCAGATGCTAGATCCCAGGCTAGATCCAGGAAGGATCTGCAGGGCAGCCTGTAGTCCCTGCCTCCACAACTGCTCTGCTCGGCCCTGACCCACAGCCATTCGCCAAGGCAGTGAATCCCCTCCACCCCCAAGATTGCCCTCTGTGCCCGGCCCCCACAATGCCTGGATCTTCCCATGGAGGTGTCTGTGTCCGAGGACTCCAGCCCAGGGCGTGAGGGGCCAGCGAGGAGTGCAAGTCCACGCCCCAGTCCCCCCAAGGCTGCTCTGCCCTTCTCATCCACAGACTAAGAGAAGCTTAAGGAATGCAACTGAGCCTGTCTCTTGGCTTGCCTGAGATGTTCTAAGAGTAATAGCCCCAAACTTGTGCAACTTCAAAGCAGTCCCAGGGTTGGTGGATGGGGGCAAGGGTGGGCGGCACCCCCAACTTTTCCTCTGGCTGGCCTGCAGGTTCCTGTTCCTGAAGATCATGGCCATGCTCACCGAGCTTCGCAGCATCAATGCCCAGCACACCCAGAGGCTGCTGCGCATCCAGGACATACACCCCTTCGCTAGCCCCCTCATGCGGGAGTTGTTTGGCATCACAGATGGCTGAGCAGCTGCCTCCCCGGGAGAGCCTCTGAGGGGCAGCCTGAGCCAGAGCCCTGCCCTCAGAGCTGCCATTCCTGGAACTAGATAGATGGATACTGCTGAGAGCTGACAATGCCCTACAGGTCCTCCCTCCGCGGGGAACTCACAATCATTCCTCAGGAAAGGGACGAGGGTCTCCCCAGGCCCCAGCCCAGTCTGTGGAGAGTGAAGCCATAGACACTTTGATGGAGAGTGCACCGGCCTATAGGCCAGGTCCATCCAGAGGCAAGACCACCCTCCCCTTAGAAATGGCCCTGTGGTCTGAGCATCTAGTGTCATGGTGGGAGAGGGGGAGTGTCTGTGAGAGAAGCCAGAAGGCCTACAGCAAACGTCAGAGGCTTGTCATGACCTCTGTGTCTATTCTTTCTTCCTTTTGTGTCCTTCATTCTGTGTCTCTGCACCCGTGCAAACACACTAGCAAGCACCAACGGTATGCAGCATGCTGTGGGCTGTGCACCGACTCAGACATAGTTCCGGACTTCCAAGACTTTAAAAGTTCAACTTGAGAAAACAAAGCAGAAACACAAAGAGCTTTGAGCCAAAGAGGTGGTAAGGGCCGTAAGAAGCACAAGGAATTTCTTCCTGTGAATGCTGAGCTGTGTGGGCTTCCTGAGGGACCAAGTGAGGGATCTCTGGAACATATGTTCGTGGGAGGAAGGGCACTAACTGGCCTTGTGCACATGCATGTGACTTAGTGTGTGTCTGCCCCACGTCTGACCCGGGGCTTGGGTTTGCCCCCGCAGCTGGAACACTGGGGTGCTCTCTGCGACAGGTTGTGTTGAGAGGCAGTTAATAAACATGCTAGCTATGCATGCACTGTATCTTCCTGTTTACACATCTATTTTGAAAGCTAAAGAAAATGACAATGGTTGCTTTGTTTAGCCATTTTGAGTAAAAATGTTTTTGCTTTTGGTGCAAATTACATTTTGACTAATATTACCTAAGGCATTCTACACATAAGGACAAGACTTAGCAAATATGTTCATGAGTTTAGTGCCAAATCAAGGCAAGAGGATTTAAATAATTTTTGGCTAGAGTTTTAAACCTTTTTTTGCCTTCTTTTCTTGGGGAAAAAGTGTGGGGGTGGGAAAATAGAAATATTATTATATAATATACATATCTATTTCTTCACTACTTGTTTCACTATTGCCCTTTACACATCTGACGGCTGTTGGTGTTGGTGTAAAAATAAAAATGATTTAACTTGGTTTGTTCATTAAATTATCCCATATAAAAATCCATATAAAAATGATACACCCCACAATATGGTATATGTGTTGGCATATATATATACCAAAATTAAAAATGTAGTTAGTAATTGAATTTTAAATGTCTAATGTTTTGAGGCAAATGAGGCTGCAAGTTAACTGAATTTTAAGGAACACTTGTTTAGCTTTTACCATTTTACAAAAAGCAGGCCAAACTTCGAGAACATAAGAAATTGTTGACATTATAAATCAAAGCAAGCAAACATATTCCTTGCCATCTCCCCAGATTTACCAGCCTCTTCTGCATTAAGGATATAGAACACACTCATTTTTAGAAAAGAAACTGGGGGGAAAAAAGAGCTCCTCTCTCCGAATACAATGAATACAGATTTTGTTCCCAGAAATTTTGTCTCATTACACTCATTGGGAAATAGGAATTTTATTCAACTGTATTCATAAATCATATGCATCTCCTCTTCCCCATTGAAATAATTTTGAATGTGCTATTCATTCAAGAGCCCAAAATTGTTAAAATATAGGCTACAGTAAGCCAAAATTAAGATAGGATGTAAACTCCCATGTCCTGGTATTGATTTTAAAAATACCTGCATAGCTGAATGGATATGTACAGAGGATTTCTATATCATATAAAAACTATTGTAGTCCAAGTGTAGTTAAGATTCAAGGTGAAATACACCAAATTGCTCACACAGGATACTTCAATAGCTTTGTGGATCTTGACTTTATAGAGCTAGAAGCCAGATTCCACTTTGCTCCTCTCAAATGTTTGGATTGCTCCATTACTCCCTTTTCTGAGCCTTTGAACATACAGAACTGTCAGTTTCTAGGCATCTCTGTGGCTGCTGTGCATTTTCTAGGTCTTGTCTCAGGTGAGGATGGAGTCTGTCTGCAAAGCTCAGGAGAAAAGCCCTTCTAAGTAAGTACTGCTTGCCTTCTGGCCCCCTCATTAGCCAGAGGCACTCAACAGCCAATCTCTATCTGGCCCAGACATTAAGGATCCAATGAAAGCATTGACATCAACAAGTTTTCTTGTGGGAAGGCTGGGGTGGCCTCTCCTTTCTAGAGAAGAGGATGTAAAGAGAAACGACATTGGATTGGCCATTCCTTCCCAGCTTCTGACAACTCATGGGCCTCATCATGCCATGTTACACAGCTTCCGTTTCCTCCGGACCTATTCCCTTAACATGCCCACAGTGCTCCTAAGTCTGAAGGTGCTGGTGAGCAGATGAATATTTTACACCTGAGAAATGGGTGGCCGTATCATCACTCTGGGTCACTTCCTTTCACAAACTTCTCCATGAAGAGCAGCTCTGCAACCTGACCCCTCCCTTTCCTCACTACTCTTTCTAGAACACCTATGAAATGGCCTCCACTACCACTGTTCTCCTGAAATGTGATCCAAAGGACAGGTTGGTCGGCACTTTTTGGAAGACCTTCAAAACTAAAAATGCAGTCTTTCAGGCTTTAAGTTAAAAGGGCATCTTGCTCAATTGTAACTCAAATAGGGCAGGAAATATAATAGTAGTGAATCCCAAACAAATGCACTTCAGTGCCATCAGGAGGCCCATCCCACGAGCGCTATCTTTATGTTTCCATTGTTCCCTCCTTCTCCCCAACCCCCTGCAACTGGTAAACATGTTTAACTATTTTTCAAATATTAGCCAACCCCATCGCCACAATAAAATGAGCAAATAAACAGAGGAGCAGACTTTATCCAATATAAATTTGTTTTTATTGAAGCAGCAGTCACATGACTTTATATCTAGCCTTTAGATTAGGCCTGACAGAGTGAGCCAGCCCTAAAAAAATGTTTCTTTTTGCACTAAGAGACATAACATGTTTACATACATCATCCAGTATTGGAAATGAGCAGATTCAAACACAACATGTGTTGGTTACCTGGGAGGTACAACCCCACGGTTTGTGGTGTTCATATATTTTACAGATACTCCCAAAGACCATTACTAATGGGATGAAAGTTAAAAGAAAATACAGCTACACCAAACCATGAACACAGTAATCAAAGACAGCAGCTTATACACGTTTTAAAAAATTTGTCCCTTTCAAGGACATTTTCTTTCTTTTCAAAGCAGTGTCTGCAAAGCTTCCTCTACATCAAATCCAAAGGTTTCCAAGATGGAAGCTGCACCTCTTGGGGCTATACAATGGAATAAGTTCATTTAAAGAACGAGAACTGGTGTTCATATCTTGATTTCATAATAAAGATCCATGTTTCTCTAATTGGAGGAACGGAGATGGTGATGTGACTACATATTGCAGTAGCAAAATAGGGTAAAGAAAAGAGGGTTGGGTACTGAAATAAAGACCACACACTTGTGAATTTTAATTTCATTTCCAGGCTAACCTACTTTTTATTTAATGCAAATTACAGTACCAGTTAACTATTTCCAAACCAAGTCACATAGAACGAAATGTATTTACAAGGGAATGGGGGAAGGGAAAAAAAACATTGAGCATACTTTTCACAAAAAAGTTTATATTTAAAATGAAAAAAAAATCAGTCACAGAGGCATTCAAGTAGTAATAATGTTATACAGATTTTGCTTTTCCTTTATATCAAGACAGATTTGCACAAGTGTTTGCAAGTTTGTATACAACCCACAGTCCTTTATATATATATATATATATAATAAATTTTGTTTAGATTTGTTTTTAAGATGGAAGTGGTCACGCTAATTGGTATGTGTACAGGCCCAAGTGATCCGTCGGCAACACATTTATAAATGCAAATTTTACAGGCAAGCACATTTTCATACATTTATCTGTATCTGCCTGTAGACAGATATAGTAAGAAAAAAAAACTTAAAAATGAACACAAGGAAGTCTACTTTGTCAAGCTAACCCCTTATGTACTGGTTGTCATTTTGCTTTTATTGCAGAGGTGCAAAACGGAGCAACAAACTTGAATAAAACGTCATAACCCTTGTGAAAATAATCCAAACCCCAGGGATTACTTTCAAAGCCTCTCAAACGCAGACCTTAGTCTGGGACTCTACTCTGCTTCTAGTTGTCATATTTTCAGTGGCTCAGGTTTCTACCAGAATATTGTAAAGCATGCTTAGTTTATTTTTCTATATAGGGGAGAAAGTGTTCAGCTCTGCGATTAGATGATCACTAACATGAACAATAGAAATCAGATACAATTTTGGTTTAAAACAAAGGAAAAAACCCCCAAACTCCTGGGGATCTGGCATTGGCCAAGCTTCCTTTGGAAGATTCCAAAGTTAAATCCCTTAAAAAGGAAAGGGAAAAAGAAATGAAATGCCAGTGTCTTTATATCCACAGGAATAGAGAATATAATAGTCCTCTCAGAAACCTTTGTATTGGTGCAGACAATATGACTGGTTAGGCAGGCTTTGTTAAAACACAAACCAAAAATATGTCTAAAAATTAAGAGGACTTAAAAAACGGACAAACATGTCTGGAAAGAAGGTGCAGTCTTCTGCCTTGCTGGAATGAACACATGATGTTTCAAAAAATAGCAACCTTTGGTTTGGTAAAGTTTGTTTTTTCTTCTACTCAAGACATCTTATATGGAGTACTTGGAGGCAAAACAAATGATTTTGATTTTTTTCTTTCAAAAAAGGCCTTCATGATGGGCACACAGTAAGAATTAAACTTATTTTTAAAGAAGGAAATGAAAATGACATTTCACTGAACAGGGGGCGAGGGGGCAGGAGGGAGGGGATGGGCTGAGTTCCCTTGTTAACATGACAGTCCTCTCGGCTCGGTGGCGCTCGGGGCAGTAACCACTAGTAACTGCACTAGAGCATTGTAGACCACTGACGGAGCAGAACCTGATACTATTAAGAAACTTGGATTTATAAAAATCAACTGTCTCTCTCTCTTTCATTTGGGAAGGAAGTGGATAAGGGGGAGAGAGCATGGAAGGCTCCTGGAATCTGCTGTCTGTAAGACCCATGGTTGGGACTTGGGGAAGAGATGAGCAAACTCGAATCTATTCGGTCTCTTCCAGCTCTAGGGCTCCCTGGCACGACACAAAGTCCCTGGATGGACTAAGTATGAAATGAAACCGGTCACTGCTACTGACTGAGGAGGAAACAGCTGCTCAGAACCAAAACAAAGGCAGGGCTTAAATGAAGTGAGATCATGAACACGGTTTCCTCTTTCCACTCCTGAGCATGGTATCACTGAAATTAACTGTGGAAGGGGCAAAGACACTGTTAGGCGTGAGTTATTATTTCAAAGGGAAAGGGGTAGGACAGGAGACACGGATAGAAAAACCAATTAAAATTTGAAAAATGAAAAATAAAAACAAAAAACAAACACATGGAAGCGAAGGCAC